TGTTTTATGAGACAAAGTCTCTTCCTGGGACCTGGGGCTAGCCAGTTAGGCCAGGCTAACTGGCCAGTAAGCCTCAGGGATCTGCCTGTCTCTGTCTCCTCAGCACTTGGGTTACAAATGTGTCACTACTCCCAGCTCTTCTGTGGCTGCTGCCATGAAACTCTGGTCTTCACGCCTGTGTGGGGAGCACTTTACTGAGCTACCTCCCCAGCCCTCTAAAGGTAACTCTAGGACGGAGACTCCATTCTGTAGGAGGGATGGGGTAGGCATAGAGAAGGAATAACAGTTCTGGGAGTGCATGGCAGGTGCTGGGACACACCAAATCTTCCCCAAGCCAAAGCTGTCCAAGCTATCATTGAGCTGGTCAGGAAGAGCTGTATTCTACTTCAGCCAAACATTGCCTCCCTACCCCCACTCCCCCCACCCCCCACCAACATAGTCAGGGCCCCATTGATCCCAAATGCACATGTTAAGATCAAGAGGCTAGCCTTAAAAATGCTCTGTGGGGGGGATGATGACTTGGAAAGAGGTGGGACTCTCCAGGGGAGGCTTTGGTACCCACACTTCCCAATGTTATGATGACGGTTCATCTTAGTTGCCTGAGGCTCTCTCTAAGCTGGCTCAGATCTACAGACAGCCTAACCCAGTATCTGGTACCACTGGAGATGATGACAGTTCTCTGCTCTTGGTTCATTAGTTCCGATACTGACATTCCTGATTGGTTACTCCACTGTTCCAAACACACTGAAGGGGTGTGTGTGTGTGTGTGTGTGTGTGTGTGTGTGTGTCCATGTGCATGCTCATACACATACAACACTGCATATGTAGATGTCAGAGGAAAACTTTCAGTGATTCTCTCGTTCTACCATGTGGGTCTCACCTGAGCAAATGTAGGTTGTCAGACTTGGCTGTAGGCACCTTTGCCCACTGAGCCATCTCTCTGGCCCACAATGGCATTTTTGTGGTTATTTTTTTTAACATACGGCTAGCCAAACCTGCCTACCAGAGAAAAATGACTCTACCGGATAGCTGTACGTTTTCACTTTTTGCACTGAATCTAACGTATATACAAGCAAATTCGTGTATCACACACCAACAGCTTGGTGGATTTTCATAAACTGAACATGGTACCCATGCCAAGGCACTGAGTATACCCAGCTACCTCTGATGCCATTTTCCAGTCACCTCCTCCTCACTACCCACTGGACACCCGCTCTTTTGACTTGCAGCCCCAGATTTGCTTTAGTAGCCTGGAGTTTGTCCTCTGCTCACATGATGACCTGACCTGCAGGTCAGTCACTCAGCAGTTGAGCAGGTAAAGTCCACGGCTCTACAGGGCTGACTGGGCACTGACTTAAAGCGGAGGTGGGCAGGGGCTCTAGCGCCTTTTCTCTCTCATGACCAAGTCTCAAAAATTCTAAAGTCACCCCAGGAACAGAGAAGGGGCAGGACCTGGGCCATCTGGGATGGAAGATGATCCTGTGTCTGAAGACCCACCATGAGGTTAACTCCAGGGACAGCAGAGCAGTTAAAAAAAAAAATTCCATATATTTCTAGAAGTTCTACCATGTGCAGCAGGCAGCAGGGAAACCTGGTGTAAGGTGATTCAGTGTAGCGGTGTGCTGGGTTCTGGACCCTGGAGAAACCGGCTCATGGTACTGGTTGGGCTTGTCATGTTCTGTTCAGCCCCTACTGCTGGGAAACCACTTCCTGCCAACACCAGTGCTGAGCCTGCTATCCACCTGTGTGACTCTGGGTACAGGTGCCAACTGCCAGCTGCTGGCCTGGACCTGTTGCCTCCTGAGCTGTCCTCATCCCGTCCCCCAGCACACATTCCCACTGAGAGATGACTGGGCACCACTAATGGAAACCAGCTTTGGGCTGGGTTTGTAGCCCCAGGGTAGAGTACAAAACCCCAGGTTTAATCCCAGTGACACATAATTTGGACATGGTAGCACAAGCCTGTAATCCCACCTTTCAGGGGGTAGAGGCAGGAGAATCAGAAGTCAAAGTCATCCTCAGCTACATAGTGAGTTTTGGGGGCCAGCCTGGGCTAAGAAGAGACCCTGTCTCAAAATGCCAAAAGCAAAAACCGAGTCTAGGTGTTCCAATGTTCTTGCCCTGTATTATCAGATTTTGTCTTTCATCCTCATCCACTTCTAACTGCACAGTGCAGCTGGCTGGGGTCTGCCCAGGGCTAGTGGTCAGGAAGAACAGCCCTGGGCCGGGCCTCATGGCTACTCAAAGAAGCCCCTCCTGGAAGAATGCTCACAACAGCTACAGCTGATGTGACTGTTCCCTCCTCATTCTGCCTGAAGGCTGGGGGCTGTAGCAGAGACCCAGAGAGCCCTGTAGAGACTTGACTTGTATGTGAGACTCCAGCAGAAGTGGTGGGGACAAGTTAGTGCTAACTCTCTGGCTAGAAGGATCTTCAGAAGTGACTGCATATAGTCCTTTCAGGGTGTGCATGAGACTCCGAGGCTTGGGATATGGCTCAGTGGGCAGTGCTCATCTAGATTCTAGATGACTGGCTCTCAGCCTTCCTGATGTTGTGACCTGTTAATGGTATTCTTCATGTGATGGTGACCCCCCCAGCCCTAAAATTATTTTCATTGCTACTTCATAACTGCAATTTTGCTACTGTTAGGAATCTAATGTAAATATCTGATATCCATGATATCTGCTATGCAACCCCTGTGAAGAGTTGTTTGAACCCCCAAGGGGTCACAATCCACAAGTTGAGAACCTCTGTTCTAGCGGCCTTGTGTTAGACCCTCAGCACAACGAAAGTACATAAATAAATAAATCTATACCTTGGGGAATGTCTTTAAAAATGTCTTACATTCAGGCTGATCCCAGAAACCTGCATTTTCCAGAAAGCATTCCAGAAGATTCTAACGTAGCTGATGCCAAGACACAGTCTGAGGAACACTGATCTGTACAACTCCATCCTCAGGTTGCAGATGGGGGAATGGAGCCTAGAGGGGCCCAGATAGCTTACTGAGAGTCACAGAATCCATGTACCCATCATCCATTGTGCTTACACAAATGCACACACATGCAGGCGCACACAGAACCTGTCCGAGGGACTCTTCCTTTGGCAGACTCCCACCCTGCCCTTTGTAAGCTAATTGTGAAGACAGAGAACAGAACAGTTTTCACAAAAGCCCAGCACTTTCCTTTCTCCTTTCTATCCCAAGTGTCTTCTTCCTAAAACCCAGATGTACACCCTCCCCTGCCCAAAATGCGCAGAATGAGTGGGGAGCGGAACTTCCTGGCCTTTTCTGCTTGATGCATCCTTTCTGACCTCCGAGCCCATGACTCTTCTATAAAGCCTTCTCCATGTGCTTCCTTCCAAGGCCTCCCATCTTTGCCCATGTGATGCCCTTGCCACCTGGGCCAACAGTACTTCTCCCACCTTGCCAGTTCTCCCATTCTTTTAAGGCCGATGTAGAAATGTGGTTCCTTCAGGAAGTCTTTTCACCTTCCAGCCCTCCCAGATCTCTCCTCTGACAATCAGAGCACTGGACCGTTCATTTGCAATCTGCTCTTACTACCTATTGTGTTCTGCTTTGAATTATGAACTTTAGTAATTTCCAGCTACAGAGCTCAGCATACCCTTCTAATCACCCACCCACCACCTAGTAACGTTCCTTGCACGCAGTAAGTACATAAAGGACATTAGTAACAGGGGAGTTATGTAGTGCTGGGGGGGCGGGGTGCTAAGTGCCTGGAGGTTTGGCCTAGGAGACCGGTGGCTTTTGGTTCAGTGACTTTCCTATGCTTCCTGGCTACTCAAACCTTCCAAGTGCTAATCTTTGCACACCAAGGTCAGCCTTGCCTACCATGTGCTTCTACCCTGACTGTCACCACCCATAGCTATTGAGTCTCCTGGTCTCAATATTGGCAGAACACCTCTGCTTTCTCACCTGCCAAGGTCAGTGAGGTCACTTCTGTGCTGCATCTTGTGCAGTGGACTCTGTCACTGGCCAGAAGGCCAGGTGCCTGTCATCTTGCTCCCACTCCAGCCAGTGGTAAGCAACAAGGTAGCCCCACCAACTGTCTTACAGGCTGAGCAAACTAGCTAACATGCTCTTGACCCAGCCCCCCAGTATCCCTGGACCATATTTCACCTGAGACAAACCTCACTGAAGAGTAACCATTGTCTCTGCATCCACGAATTGCTTACAACATGGCCACAAGAAGTTCATTTCAGAATCACTGACAGCTTAAGTTCTAGGGCCTGAGCCAAACTTTCAGAAAAGAGCCCTTTCTTCTTTGTTAAAGTATGCATGTCCTGTGAGGAAGAAGGGTTCCTTCCTGCCAGGGTCCCTGCAACTGGAGTTCTGGAAGAAATCCTTACTGGAATTTAGAAGTCTTAATCCTGAGTCCCGCAGTTCACGTGCCTAGTGCAGGCTTTCTACTTGGGAGAAAAATTCAGAACGTAGCTCTCACTAGAAGCCATTGTCTATTGATGCCTCTTCCAACACCAGCCCAGCTTTTTCCAACCACCCCATGCCCCAAATAACCTCCTTCAAGCTTCTAGTTTTCTTATTAAGACGTTCATCTCCACACATACACATATTCATACGCATATACATATATAGAGGGGCCTTGTGTTAGACCCTCAGCCCAAGAAAAGTACATAAATAAATAAATCTACATCTTGGGGAATGTCTTTAAAAATACAGGTGTCTCGGGTTTCTCCTTACATTCAGGCTGATCCCAGAAGCCTGCATTTTCCAGAAAGCATTCCAGAAGATTCTAACGTAGCTGACGCCAAGACACAGTCTGAGGAACACTGATCTGTACAACTCCATCCTCAGGTTGCAGATGGGGGAATGGAGCCTAGAGGGGCCCAGATGGCTTACTGAGAGTCTCAGAATCCATGTACCCATCATCCATTGTGCTATACACAAATGCACACACACGCAGGTGCACGCGCACGTGCGCACACACACATACATACACACACATATACACTTAGATTCTCTACTTACCAACATAGGTCCACTTGGATCCTGTAAAGAACAGAGAGGAACAGATAAGTACAATACAACAGAGCTGAAGGAGGCAAAGAAGAAACGCCACATCTAGTTTTGAAATGGGTGAAGCGGAGAACGAAGTCAGTGTCCTCAAATAAGAACTTCTGACCCAGAACTAGAAACACGTCTCCTCAGAGCTGTGCTCCGCACATAGCTCAGGATGGAGACTGTGTGGGGGTGGTTGGGGACTCAGCATGGGGCTTCTAGAATAGATGCTATCCCCAGACATGTTAGAAAAGCCAAATATTATTAACTGGACAGGGAATTCCAAGTGACTTAAAACTCCAAAGCAATCAACGTGTTTGTTTAGTGGAAGCTCCCTGTTCTCTCTCCCCCCCCCCCACGACCTGTTCCCTCTTTCAGTAGACATCTGTGTATGGGTGATAGTGGGCTCCTCACAATGGACCAGACACTCATGTGTTCTATTCCTTCCCTTGCTGGAAATATTATTTAGCATCTTGGTTTTTTCCATTCAACACCATATCCTGGAGAACTTTTCACATCAGCACCCAGAGAGCAGAGATGTAAGATGTTTTCCCCCAGGGGAGCTGCATCCTCACCTGAGTCTCAATGCCCTGGCAGAAATGTGGAGGAGAAATCTTGCCAGGAATATAACCCAAGCCACCCACCACCTCCCACTCTACACCCTTCACAGCGCTCAAGTCCCACAGCAAGTGATATTTTTAAGCAGTTGTTGCAGGACTCTGCTCTTGTCTCCCTGTCTGCTCACGTTCACCCTCCCTCAGAAAGAACACTGAGCCCCCAAGATGAGATGTGTCTCCCTGCACACTGGGGGACTCCTGAGCACCCTTTGTCTGTCATCTCTGGGTGTCTTTGGTTGGGAGGAATAGCTGGAAGAGTGAGGACCTGGGTCCCCTTTGTTTCTCAATAAAATGTAGCGTCAAAGATCTGGCCACTTGCCGTGAACAGAGATGTCCTACTCAAGACAATATGGTATCTAAAAGTTGAAAGGGAACCTTGATGCTTCATTTCTTTCTTTCTTTCTAATGTTGATATCACCTCTTTTCCCCCTCCATTGTTGCTATTACTGCCTTGTTTCACTTCTTTACCTCTGTGTCAATTTCATTTTTAATTTTCAAAGTCAATTGATAATTTTGGTCAAATGAGACATCTGGACACAGTCTAGAGTCAGATGGTTCTGCGAAGCTTCTTAACAAACACAGCCTCCCCTCCCCCGGTCACATGCCATCTACTGACTTCCCAGGATGATTTTGGATTCTTTTAAATGATTCTTTGAGTGTTTTCTCCATACCTTTTGAAAATATATGTATATTGTCCCCATTTGGGTTTCGTAGATGCAAACACTATTTACCAAAGTTCTACCTTGGAAGAGAAGAGTGTAGTTTTCACGGGTGATGTAAAGCGACCTGTCACAGATAGACCTTGTGCCCACTACGAGTCTTGGCATGTTTATCACTCATGTACCATGTTTCTGTGAATTTCAGGAGCTTCCTAAGGGGGTGGGGGGTCGAGCTCTTCCTGAGTTTGGGCAGCTCAGCAGTGCCTGTTGAAACCTGCAAACCCAGTTGGCACTGGGCAGGGAGATGCCCTGAGGGAAGGGCATTTAGCAAAGTCAGGCCAGGGGTCCTGCTCTGCCCACTCCCTGCCTTGGGTGCTAGCAGCTTCCAGGAGCTGAGAACACTGCATCATCCAAGCAGTGTGGCCTTGCCTGGCTCTCCGCCTTCAGTTCAGAGAGAGGCTCAACGGAGTTCACTGAACCAGCCCTCAGCCATAGCAACAGAGAACACCACACTGTCTCCAGAAAACCTTCAGCTTCACTGTGTGCTCCTCCCACCCCTGGACTGTGGGCTTTTCTTGGGCATTTACTAGTGTCAGCTTTGACAAATTTCAACCCCCAAGTATCAGGCAGAGCACACTTTGACCCCTTATTCAGCTAACCCTCCAGCCCCAAACCTTTTATTAACTGGCCTTCTGTCTACCTCCATGAGTTTTGTTTGACTTTATCCCCCGAGGTAGTCAAGAAATACCCAATAAATATCAGTATAAAAGCTTAGAACTTAGGGGCAGCTAAGACTGCTCAGTGTGAGTTGAAAGGGGAGCTCTACTGCAAGCTCCCTCTGACGCAGTTTGGAGAATAAGGAGGACATGAAGGGGTGGGGGTGGGGAGCAAGGAGTGACAAAGAGGAGAATGGGGAGCCCCAAACTTGCAAAAAAAAAAAAAAATCAAAAGAGAGTCCTTCTCTCCTTTGCGTGAGACATTTTGCTGCTAAAACGACTTCTGGTAAACTTCCCGTCTCCATAGATTTCTTGAGAGTTAGCAGTTAGCCAAAGTTAGCAGTTTTCAAAATTGATCCCCCACTCTGTTTGTGGGACTCCTCCCACATTCTGCTTCTTCCTAACTTCATGGGGAGGTGACAGGAGGCAGAAGGGGGTACTCCTGCCTCAGGAAAGGGGTAGTAGCTTGTCCACAGGCAGTGTGTCCTCCCAGGGGAAAGGAATGCTGGGCTCCGGTTCCACTGGGCAGGAGCAGTGCTCTCTCCCTGCTCCGCTGGGCAGGAGCGGTGCTCTCTCCCCGCTGCCTAGTGAGGGGGAATCATCTTTCATCCATTATGGTCACCCTTGTTCCCTTCTATTGCAACCCAAGAACTGTGCGCCCACAAGGATCGCCACAGTGCGGGGGACCCATTGACACAAGAAGGGCCCAGTCCCACCTTCTCTCCAAGGAAAGTAGCTGAGAGAGAAGCAAGCTGAAGCTTGCTCTCCTTTTCTTATTCCAAAGGAGTTAATTATCCAGGCTTTGGACATGAGCCCACAATTCAGGCTCCTCTTCCCACCTCAACCTGACACCCTTCTCAGCACCCCTGCCTTTGCCTTCGGGTTTCAGCCCCTTATTACAATCAGAAATACGGCGCGTGTGTACACATGTAGATCCGGTGTAGTAGAGTTCTCTAGGGGAAAGACAATGATCAACGGTGGGCTAGGTTATCCCCTTGACACGGAGGTGACGCCTACTGGTTAACTGCCTCTCTGAGAATCAGCCAGACTCCCCTCTTGCAGGTCACAGCACACAGGAAGACAGTCCTTTTCTCAGCGCTCTGCACGTGGTTCCGGGATCCTGGCTAGCGAGTTTCCAAGCCCCATCTCCACAGGTAGTAGTGTTCAGAAAAGAGGCAAACGGGTAACCACAACTGTGCACCAAGCACCATTAAAAAGGCAACGTGCCTCCAACTAGCCTCAGCAAACAGTGCATCCCAAACGATCCCAAAGCTCGCATCCTTTCTTGAAAACGTGCTAGGCACACAGCAACTTCCCCGCTCGCTCAGTAGTGATTTTATTTTATCTTGCAAGAGCCTAGCAGAAATCATATTTTATCTTGCAAGAGCCCAGGCAAGGCTGAGTGCATAGGACTCATTTTATTTTTTTTAAGCAAGCAGAAACTTTACCGTTGAGTGGGGCTGAGCTGGAAGGCTGCTCCTTAAGGATCACCAACAGGAGGACGACAATGGCGCGCAGGCTGCTATGGGGCATCTTTGTCGCGGCGTCTCAAAGCTGCCTCTCGCTCTGACTGTGGGGCGCTCGGAGCTGGCAGGAGCCGGCAGCAGCACACCAGCACAGCGTGCACGTAGCCTGGGACCAAGGCGTGCACGTCCGTCGGTTGAGTCGACTCGTGGCTGCCTCTAGGCTGCTTTTTATGCCGCGACTCAACCCAAAACATGATGTCATCATGCAAGAGGGCGGGGCAGAACGCACAGCCTACCCGAGGGCTGGAGCCTCAGGTCCGAGGTGAGTTGAGGTCCTGACTTAAGTAGTACTCTGTGTCCCACAGCGTTCCTCTGGGCCACCGGTTACCTGGGCGAGCCAGTTCTCCCAGGGATGTATAGGAAGTCAGGAAACCATGCACCACTCACTTCCCTAGATGTTACCATGGTCTATCACTGCCCTTACTTGGAAGCCCCAGCATAGGATGCTGTTTGGGCCAAAGCCTCATTCAGGCCTGAATGCTTCTGCCTGATCTGGATGGGTTAGCCAAGTAGCTGCGAACTACACAGCACATCCAGACTAAACTCCTTTCAATGAAACCACAAAGAGACTGCGAACAGGAAACTGAGGTAAAGAGGTTCACAAGAGCGAGTCGCTTTACTCGGCGATTAGCATTTCCCCTAGAAGAAGGCGTGTAGACAAGGCTCGCTCACTCCTTGTGCAAATTCACAGGATCAGTCATCCTCAGCAGGAAGCTGGTGGAGAAGGTGCCCTCTCTCAAGTAGTGGTGAAGGAAAAGGACTTGCTTCGTCACTGAATGTAAAAGCATCGGAGACCAGGCTAGGTGTCGTGTAATCAGTGGCCAGGCTGTTTCTAATGCTGGTTTACCACCTGTTGCTGCTTCTGCCCACTTTTCTCCCCTCTCCGCCTGCTTTGGAATACGCACACTTACGAGCTCGTTGTTCTGATCACTTTTGTGTCAACTCCATGTGGAGCTGAATCCTATTGGCCTCCTGCTCTGTGGTCCCCCTCCCTTACTTCCTGTATCTTCTGTTTGTTCTTCTCGCCTCTGAGATGGTGTCTGCTTCCCTGGCTCCTCCATTCGTCTCTATACACCTCAGGTGTGGGTCTGGGTTTCCTGCTCCTGGTAACCCTCCTACTGCCTACACATATGGCACAGTACATAACCCCTAAGCATGTAACCTGGCCCACCATGCCCTCTTCTCTGGGCCAAGGCAACCAGCCCAGCCCTCCCCCTTCCCTTCTGACGCTCAACCTATACGGACTCAAGTTGGCCTTGGTGACCAAAGAAGCCATTTGTTCACCCATAACTTGGTTCTGAGCAGCGGAGAACCACCAGGAAGCAGTGTCACCTGTATTTCAAGGGGTGTTACTGTTTTGTCCCTAACAGCTCGGCTATTGTATGGGTAATAAAGGGCTTGAAATCTCTTCAAGGAAGTTGTTACAATGACAATTCTGTCACAAGCATTCTAGACCACAATAAGCTTAAGGGTGACCTTTTCTCAGAGATAAATGGCCTTGAGCGAGCTCTGGAGTGTCCTAGAAGCAGGATCTTTAAAAGCGGAAGTGAACTGGGGAGCAGTCGACCCAGAGAGAGCCCTGCAGGATCAGAGATGCAGACTCTGGGCCCAGAGTGTGAAGCCTTGACTAGTACAAAGCCAACTGGATCATCTGCCACCAGTCTGTGCCACTCCCACAATCAGTGTTTCTCAGTATGTCAGAGAGTTCGACTTCTCAAACATTCATGTTAAAAGGATCCCTAAAGATGGACAGATGAAAGAAGGAAACAGGGAATTTAGTAAAACAGGAAGACCAGATCATAAACTAGGACTCACAGAGAGAGACAGAGCTTCTGTCACATGGCTGGCTAATTAGTAAAGAATGGTTAACAAAAGGGAAACAAGGCTACAAGCTGAAGCTGGGTGTGGTGGGTTACACCTGAAGTCCCAGCACATGGGAAGCTGAGGCAGGGGGATCTCTGAGCTACAGAGTGTCAACAAGAAAAGGGCAGGATAATCTGGGAGGAGATCATAAAGAGATGGCTCAGAGAGTGAACCTGCTTGCTGGGAAAAGCCAATCACCTGAGTTGATTCCCACAGTGGAATCTAAGGAAGGAGAGAACTGTCTCTTTCAAGTTGTTCTCTAACCTCAATGTGTCTGCCAAGGCAGGCTGCCCTCTTAGTCCCACACTGATGATGATGATGGTGGTGGTGGTGATGATGATGGTGGTGGTGGTGGTGGTGATGATAAATGGTTTTAAAAAGAAAGGGCCAGGTGTGGTGACGCATGCCTTTAACCCTAGCGCTCATGAAGCAGGGGAAGGTGGATCTCAGTGAATTTAAGACTAGCCTGGTCTACCTAATGGCTCCAGGCTAGCCAAAGCTATACGCTGAGAGATCCTGTCTCAAAAGACTGAAAGAGAACAGCACATTGAAATGGGTAGAACGACCAGACTTAAAAGCCAGCTAGGCTGAGCAACGCGCTCCTCACCGGTCTGCAATCACAACTCAGGGTCTCGTCGCCCTGTTTTCTGAAACTTAACGGCAGCTTTCAAGTGAGGACCAGCTTTGACATCACCAGACAGGGCTGTTGCCGGCCAAAGAGCCTCCCACACTACTCGTCAACGTGGGGTGGAGCCTCTACACACAAAACAAACGTGGGGGCGGAGCTTCTACACGCAAAAAAACGTGGCGCCTACAGATCCAGGGAACAGTAAGAATGTTGTAACTAAACAGACCCAAAGGCCAGGCTAGAGAGGGAACGTGCAGAGGAGAGTGGGGGAACAAACACCAATTGGCTGTCTAGCGGTCTGGACTGAGGCAACTATGGCCCTACTTCATGCCAAGGGTCCTGTCTGTAAGAGGGGTAAGCCCTGTCCTGGGCCCCTGACAGAACCCGTATACGGCTATAAGAAGCGACAAGCCAGTGAAAAGGATTTGCTCATTCATTCATTCATTCATTCATTCAGTGGAAATATTTTTGTCCATTCATTCATTCACCTTCTGTGTGCCAGGAGCTGTGTTAGGTAAACATGGTCTTGTTCTTGGAGGGGCACAAAAGCAGAAGGCAAAGAATCCCACGCGTGACGTGGGATTATAATTGCAGTGGTGCCATGGAAGGTAGGTGTGTGACCCGGAAGGCCTCGTTCTGTCCTGGGTGCTGACAGAAGACATTATCGGTGTGAAATCAGAGTCCATGACTTCCGAAACTTTTGGAAGTTAACAGCAACTCCCAGGATCCTCTTTGCCAAGGCAGCTCCCATTGGGTATTCGTCAGTTCCATAAATCTTTCAGGTGGAATTGCTAAATGCTGAAGAATTCTATTAAAAGTCTCTGTAGGAACCAGAGAGGAGGAGGTGTACACACGGGTGCAGGTGCCCAAGGAAGTCAGAAGAGGGTGATAGAGGCCTTGGAACTGGAGCTGCCCGCGTGGGTGCTGGGAGCGTCCTCCTTGAGGACAGCGTGTGGCTCGTTATTCTTAAAACCATCTGAGGGGTAGCATTAGGTTTTAGAAATCCGAGGCTTGAAGATCAATCCTTTCTTAACACAGATTCACAAGACTATATTCTTGGCCCAGATAATTCAATCTCCAAGGCCGAGGCAAGCTTTTTGTATTTTTGTATGGCTATTCCATCGATGCTTCTTCAGATGGAGTGGTTTTGGATTCCTCTGAAATGTGGATTCTCTGATTTTTCTAGGTGGTTTAGTTCTCTATTTTCTGATTAGAGGCAAAGTCTGTCAGTTCCAACAATCCAACCTCAGTAGAGGATGAGGCTGTGTCTCCCTCTCCAAGCCCCATAGGCAGAGAAGGAGAAAGAGTGTCCCTTGATGAACACAGCATGGGATGGAATGTGATAGAAGAAACCTGAGACCTCAGGGCTCTGACTCCACAGTTCTCCAGCAAAGGAGGAGAACATGAGCCCGAGCCCTCGGCAGGCTCCTTGTTCTGTTAATGAGCTGTGCTTCAACCAGAAAAGAAGGGGGGAGGGGGACAAAGAAGAGAGACGGGGGTCAGGAGGAAAGAAGAAGGAAAAGAGGACTAAGCTGTCTGTAACTGGGCAGAGGCTCAGGCAACTTCCGTGTCCAAACTTGTGCAGGCTTATTGATACGGATGTGAAAATGCAGTGAATTTTATAGCTTTGTTCACACTGTGAGGCAACAGCATGGATTCATAGCCTCTGTGTGAACTGTAGCCACTCTGCTCAGTTTCAGGCTGGATCAGTAAGAGGACAGTGTGACCCAGAGGAAATAGTGCCAAACTCCTGGCTCTGCCAGGAACCAGCCCCTAGAACCTTCAGAAGCCTGTGTATGCCTGTGTTTTCTGACCTCTTAGCTGAGACAAGAATATTTAATCCCATACAGGTTTGGGCCTATATGTATGAAAGTACTTTGGAAAAAATCTAATCAATATCTCTCTCTCTCTCTCTCTCTCTCTCTCTCTCTCTCTCTCTCTCACTGCCTCTCACTGTCTCTCTGCCTCTCTCTTCCTCCCTCCCTCCCTCCCTCCCTCCCTCCCAGGCATCACTCCTAAAAGCAAGCTTGAAATAAAAGGAAGTTTGTAGAATCTCAGCCCTAATTTTCTAATCTAAAAAAATGAAATGGATTCTTGGATTCCGGTGTGGAAACTCTCAGCCCGTGACTGCCTCCGGTTGCCATGGGAGGCTGGTTCAGTTACTTGGCCATGGAATCCTTCAGCTGCTACTCCTGTTGAATGTGGAATGATGGCTGTTAATCAGTCTTCATAAAATTCTGCATAGTTAATTTAAAACCCATAAAAATTCACAGTTCTGCACACAAGATAAGTTATGATTTTAAGAGAATGAACCTTGATGCTATCTATATACTTTACCTCTTTGCAGCTATCTAGGAAATCATGGTGAGCTGACATGACGCTAACTTGAGAGATGGAATTTAACCACTGTAGCTTGGGTTTCTTGCAGCCACCTCTCCCTGCGCACCTGCTGGCTGGATCCGTCCTCCTCTAACCGCAAGAGTCTCAGATCCTGTTCTTGGAATTGATCCAAAGCGTGTCCTCTCTTCACAGGGCAGGGACATCTCTCATTC